CTGCACAACCGAAAACGCGCTTTCTAACTAACAGGTGCGATTATCATTTCAAACCCTTGTTTAAGATGGTTGGTGAACCAAGGCTTTTCGTGAGATGGATAGATGCATGATGTCATAGTTCGCTTTCTTCACTGTAAACTAGCATCTACTCAAGTGTGACGCGATGGAGGTCAGTCCCGAGCTTTCCGTACAATGGGTCTCCACCTTAGAGCCAGTGGCGTAAAATTAGGACTACTGCTTCCCTGTTACTATGTTTTCATCGAATACATCGACGTTGAGTAATTTTGGTCAGTGAGGATCAACAACATCAGTGTATTGATGTGCAAAGCTCTCTTGCTTCGCCACAATAGTACTTATGCATACTGCCATTAAGACCGGGTTTTTTCGAAGAACACCACATCAGACTACCGAGGACAGTAATTTCAACGGATTCAACACTATAGGGACCAGCTCAAATCCACACTTTTAAGGACGAGGATGCTTCCGTGGACGTCAGTCTTGTAACTATTGAATAAAGTATCGTCTTGTAGTGATTTCAACGGAATGCAAGGAACGATTGAGTGCCTTTTCTTTTGAGTACTTGTCATACTTGGGGACCGAAGTGAGTTACACTGGGATAGAATGGATCGCGGTTCTTTGATTATATCCTTGTTGGTCCGTTTTCGTCGCTTCAGCAAGGTCACGGGCACTGACTTTAACTGTATTTCCGGTTTCGCCCTACATAGCGCTAGGAACTTGACTGATCCGATGAGATGTACAACGAAGTAATGCGTCTAACGAGCAGCACGTGTAGCATGCACTAATATACACGCCTTGCAAACAGGCGCTAAATGACGAATTTTTATTCATACGAAAGGTTTGGTCATGGACGCATTCAGCAGGGGAAATTACCGAAAAATTCATTCTATAAATTATTGAAAGAGTGGGTTACATTACGATGGTCACTTTGACCAATTTCCTGATACTTCCTCAAATTTGTGGGTCTAACATTGCAGAATGTATGTTTTTGTGCGAACGATTCTGCACTGGATACCCAATTAAACAACCTCTGCCCCGTGGCAGATAGGAGCAAAAAACGTAAAGAAAGTGATATGGTGGCTGGTTGGGTCTCTGACCTCGCAGCATAGTGAAGAACCGAATTGATCACCATCCGACTTTCCCTCAAACCCAAACGGATATCGTCCGGTTGCAAAGCGATGTGGAGACATTCGAATCAGTGTTCATACCATATTTATAATGGTCACGGCAACTTCTAACAAATTTTTTGCTCTTTCTTCCAACCGGCACTTTGCTCCCTTGCCATACCAGTCAAAGTACTAGGAATTACAATGTCATATCTATCACCCCTAATATTTCCAGCTAGTTTTTCCGGGTGTCTGCAGGTCTTGAGCGTCAAAGACACATCTTTCGACGGAAAGAACGCCTAATGGGTGTCAGCGCGACACGCTATTCTGATAACGAGATCAGGTTATCAAACCAAGTGACTGCAATGTGAGCGTAGTTCACAGAGCTCACAAGAGCTGTGGTTGGGAGCATAATTGTGAGTCATGTGAACCCACGCCTATGTTCCTACAACCCTGGGAAAAGTAGGGATATCGCACAAGAAAGAGAACTAGTGTGGTGATGCGAAAGTCACTTTCGAGAAGCATGGTCATTCGGGTGTTTGTACTCTGCGGTATACACTTGTACAGCGCACCAATTGAAAGAGTGGGTTACATTACGATGGTCACTTTGACCAATTTCCTGATACTTCCTCAAATTTGTGGGTCTAACATTGCAGAATGTATGTTTTTGTGCGAACGATTCTGCACTGGATACCCAATTAAACAACCTCTGCCCCGTGGCAGATAGGAGCAAAAAACGTAAAGAAAGTGATATGGTGGCTGGTTGGGTCTCTGACCTCGCAGCATAGTGAAGAACCGAATTGATCACCATCCGACTTTCCCTCAAACCCAAACGGATATCGTCCGGTTGCAAAGCGATGTGGAGACATTCGAATCAGTGTTCATACCATATTTATAATGGTCACGGCAACTTCTAACAAATTTTTTGCTCTTTCTTCCAACCGGCACTTTGCTCCCTTGCCATACCAGTCAAAGTACTAGGAATTACAATGTCATATCTATCACCCCTAATATTTCCAGCTAGTTTTTCCGGGTGTCTGCAGGTCTTGAGCGTCAAAGACACATCTTTCGACGGAAAGAACGCCTAATGGGTGTCAGCGCGACACGCTATTCTGATAACGAGATCAGGTTATCAAACCAAGTGACTGCAATGTGAGCGTAGTTCACAGAGCTCACAAGAGCTGTGGTTGGGAGCATAATTGTGAGTCATGTGAACCCACGCCTATGTTCCTACAACCCTGAGAAAAGTAGGGATATCGTACAAGAAAGGGGACTAGTGTGGTGGCGCGAAAGTCACTTTCGAGAAGCATGGCCATCCGGGTGTTTGTCCTCTGCGGTATACACTTGTACAGCGCACCAAAAGCATGCACCTGTTTGCAGTCGATTAGGTAGCTAGATTTAGACAACAAAATCGGAGAAATTCCCAAAAGTTAAACAGATTACGGTTAGAACCAGGAAAACAATGAAGTCACAACAATGAAAATCGTAGTACGATGGGTGACTTTGCCCTTCTACAACGGGTGTAACGCCAGATAACGCGATATTTTGTGGGTTTATTTTGATGGAAGCTAAACGTTGTGGTTTGTGTTAGATGAAAATCATAGTACGATGGGTGATTTTGCCCTTCTACAAAGGATGTAACGCCAGATATTGCGATATCTTGTGGGTTTCTTTTGATGGAAGCTAAACGTTGTGGTTTGTGTACGCATGCTTGGTGACTAACCTCCCATTTCTCCCAGACTTCATCCTGGATTACCAGGTCACAAGCAAGGTAAGTCTCATGGTAAAGTCTTGAGCTGCAGAATCATCAACTGGTGATTAAAGTCACACCGTTCACCACAGAATAGACAAATGTGACAAATAAGCAAACGATCTACCAACTGCAGCTTCTACTTTGCAGTAATTGCCCCTGTACTCACTTTCGGTTCAAGATACGCTTCAGATCCTTCTGCGAGGTCACCGATGATTAAGAGGGACCTAATCCATCCACCGAAATGGCTTAGTAGAGTCGACATAGTCTTTGTCATGATCTATGAGGAAGAGGCTAAATATGCAGTACACTACCGGATTGTTAGTCATACAGCGATAGTATCCGCGACAATAGTATACTAATCAAGCGCTCATAGCAGACCAGTAGACATAAGTGTACACCAGGGACTTCATACCATCTACTTTTCAATCAGCCTTGTAAAACCGTTTTATCACACAGTTTGGAAAAGCGGTATTGGAGTGACCAAACCAGCGGCAATCGTGACACAATCTTATCTAATTGACAGTGCTACTCAGCGCTTACCTTTCTAACTTGGGTCTGGGTTGAAATCGTCTACATAAGTTGGATGTGGTTTTGAAGTATGACTTCTTAGAATAGTATCCCAACACATTTGTAGAGTGCGGACAGCTTCTGAGACAATCTGACTGAAATCCAATTAGTCAGTGATGGCCACTATTACGGATGACGAATCACCATTAAATTAAAACCAGTGCGCTGGCATTTGTCCTTTTTTGGAGGCAACGGTCCTACTTATGTGCCAACTGATAACATTTGGTAAATCAAACCCTTCCGAAACTCCTATAGCGACATCGAATAATGCAGGTGACAGCTCACTGAAAATAAAAGACATAATCAGACCAATCTGGCTGAAAGTTTGCTCGCTAGGTTGGCCCTGCAAAATGTAACCCACACAGCGTTTACTTTCGGCCACGCCAGGTTTTCGTTTCACCAATCACATCTTTTTAGTCGAGGAGGCCCATAGAGAAATCCTATTCATGTTTCCGGAACAAGATCCGCTGGATCAAACCAATATCTTAGAATCGTATTAAACGAAGTATCTGCCAGTGCAGCATTTGTCTCACGTGTATATGGAGACTTATCTTCAGCACTATGCCAATCAGCGGTCCACCCTTTCGGCGACTCGGCTGGGATTTTTGAGTGGATGTGTTCATGAATTGCTGTTTCGATGACCCCCGTTCGAAGCTCTCAATCCTTTCTGGATAGTCATTGCATCTATTGCTCCACGAATGGAGACACGAGTAGATAGTTCATCGTTTCATTGTAATTGATGTGCGAATAACCTACTGGTGTGAACGCGTATTCGGTAGATAAAGACGCTGAACCTAGCATATACTAGAACGTTGGGAAGTAGTACAGTCTGCTCCGCGAGTCTGGAATCGATAGAGATCATTCTTGGTGAGGAAGCCATTTTTCCATTCATATCGTCTCATCGGTTACCAGAGTTCTCCGAAACGGATGTAAAGACTGTGTAGAAATTCTTAGTTCAGAAATCCAACTTGAGACATTCACCTGTTTGTCCATGCTTGTACAATTCAGTAGCTTATTTACTATGCAAAAAATAACCTCTTTCTGTCTGCAACGCAGGATGCCTTGGACAAATGGCAGTTATGTATGGCACGTTTCACAGACAAGAAGGTACGATCTTTTGATATTAGCTTTGAGGAGCTGTATGCCTCTGAGGAGATCGACAAATCTGTGGAACCTACGAAAGAGATGGAGGCAGTTTGCGATCTGGAAGAAAAATTGACCAAACTAGCTCGATATCGGCTGGCCGAATTGCAGGAAAAAGGTGAGATCGAGGCGTACCGCTTGCTGTTGGACTACCTTCAATCGTTGGGTTGGGAAGCTAGCAGGATTCTTGAAGAGTCTCGGAGTGATGAAATTGATAAACTTGGGCTGAAGGAAGCAAGAAAAGAGAATGAACCAGAACAGGGTTCATCCACAACGCACAACCCCCCAGTTGCTCGCTCATCAGAAGGAGCATATTCTTCCTCTCGATTAGACAAGGTAAGTAGCACAATGTTATCGCGTAAGTACAAAACAATAAACTCACTCTAACATTGAGAGTTCACGAAGAAGTTTGAAAGTGATCGTAGTATCATCTCAACATTAATAATGCCTTTTTCGCCTTAAAGTGGTGTTTGAAATGCATCCGAATTGAAGTTATTGGAGCGAAGAATTAATTTCAATGCACTTTCAACTCGCAAGTACATACATGTGCATCCGAGGGAGCCTATCGCAACAGCAAAAAGGTTTAAAACAAAACACGGTATGTGGCGCTACCTGTCCAAAACCTGTCATAGGCCCATGATTTAGAGCCATCGTTCTTCTAACTGAACTTTGATCATGTGTTTCATCCAAATGCGAGGGTGGCGACATCATCGACGAGCAAAACCTCTGACTATGTAGAGTGAGATCAAATAGGAATTGTACAAAAACGTCCATATACGCAAAAATATGGTCGTGGCCGTGAACAAAAACTGGCTGTACTGTGCAAAGCAATCTGAACCTAAGTATGCTTGGTAGTTTAGTGCTGTTACGGCGCATGACAGTGAATTCCGCGTAGTTATTCTATCGGTGCTTTGCTATGGTCAGGCTATTGGTAATCCAGCCATTTTACTTTCCGGCCATTTGAATGGACTACGTTCAGATATCCAATTAGGGAACTTTCTCTTCATTCTTGCAGCATAACATATGCCAAACGAACATAATGATATCTGCACGATCACTGGAGGTCAGACGTCGCTCGGCCCCACAGAATCAGCGTTTGAACTTGTTGTTTAGTTTCTGGTTTGACAGTTCTGTAGGCATAGTGTCGTTGAAAGGCCTTCGCGCGGTACAGTAATTGTCGCGGCATATCCTTGATGATGCGTTTCTGTGCACTAGACCTCATGTCTGTTCTCAGGAATCTCTTGGAATAGTTGGGACTAGGCAAGATGTTAATAAGACGATCCACTCCTTCCAGAACCGAGTTCGGAACTCCATCTTAGACGATAAAGCAATCAAACAAGTTATACTTGAAACAGCTTAACCTACAATATAACAGGGGATTCTGATCAATTCTCTCTGCGCGCTGCCAAGTAGAAATAGAGGATGAGACACCGTATCATTGACAATATTTTTTATAGCTATACGAAATGAACCCAGAGAACTTAAAACACGAATATCGGCCAATTTCATTCAGTACTGAGGAATATGTTAAGAAGGTGCCTTTGTTAATCTCCAAAAAGTCCCACACTACCTTTTCGAAGCTGGGCAAGTTATTCTGGCTCCACGATAATTAAATGACTTTGCCGAACGGTACTGCGGTTTAGTTGATTGAAGTTGGGCATTCTGGTGGGCTGTGTGATCTACCATTTGTCTAGAATACTGCTTTCATTCTTGGCTCGATCATGTGAGAGCTTATCCTGTATTCCTTCTCCACACATAGAAACCGTCTACCCAACTGCAGCTGGAACACGGAATGCCCGAGCTTGCCAGATTGAAACAGTGGCTGGAGTTTTCCGATTTCAGCGGACAGGAAGGCCAAGAACGGAATAACTATTCGCGTAACTCGCTTACATCCAGTACGGTACAACGAAGGCCTACTCTATCCGGGACCTACAGCAGCGCATGCTCACCCACTCCACACTGCGAGCTCAGTAGCGATGGAACTATTCCATGCGCTGGTTCACTCTTTATTACCACTGATGGCTATTTTGACGAGCCGAAGATCAGTGAGCGCGACCTCGGAGTAGGTCTCATTCAAACAGACACTCTGACCAGACTGCGAAGACACGCGTTGATACGCATGCTAGCCGATCCCATGGTCATACAGCGAGATGCAGGCGAGAATGCGTTGGACAATTGGGATCGGAAGGAATCCGTTTCACATGTTCCACACTGGAAACAAAAAATGAAACTATTCGACAAAATGCTCACATCCATTGAACCGATGAATAAGTTTTGTACAAACAACGTAAATGGGTCATACACGTCAGACAGTAGTAGTCGTGGAGATGTGGTGACGAGACGTGTTGTCCCACAACTGTTCCAGTCAATGCCACCGCACCAACCGAAGTTAGAAGAAGAGAAACCGGGGACTGAGACTAGTGGTAGAAACTAATCTGTGAATGATGCTCACGCCAAACTGTGATGACTATATAAGAAAACTGTGATTGGCTTTCATTTGAAGTAGAGAAGCGAATTCCGAACGAAACAAGTCATTTAAACTTTTGTTTAATCCAATTTATTGAAGTGGGTTATATAAAAAAAATGTTGTGAACTACGAGGGGTGAATTCTCAGTGAATGTAAAGCTTGGGTTTGCAAAGTATTTCTCATTAAATATAAGACCCTGCCGAGATCGTACTCTTGTGCGGGTACTTTTATTTAAGAACGACTAATCGATAATTATCCGGGGAGTTTCATATTGTTTGATCAGTTACGTTTCGTTGAGATGAAGAGTGACGAAGGAATCTCAGCCCTGTTACTGGTTGCAATCAAACGTTTCATGATCGACGGGCTGGACATTCGCCCCCGGTTGAACAATACAGATGTTTGCTCCACGAAGCGTTGCACCAAGTTACTTGAACGGGTGTTTTTGGTCCGAGTTCGAAGGCGTCTGTCAATTCTTTTGGAACAAGTTACAGGAAAACTGCAAGGGAATTGACCATGACAAGGGACGGTGAATAAAACTAACGGTGACATCTTAGTCGGTCGCAGTTGGATTTCCCTTGTGTTTCGTTCACTCACGAGCGATGCGGCATATAACGTTCTAGATCTAATACCTTCTTTAAACAGAACTACCTAGTGGGACACAGCAACTCAAGGAAATTAGGGTTCTTTGGGGCGATAATCTCATTGCTGTTTGTCTCATGCATCCCAGTGTTCCTGGCCCCATCCAAACAATTAGCCGCGCGCAATGAACAAATGTGACTGACTCTTCATCCATATTTGTAATGTACTACTCATAAGGTTGCTGAAAATCCATCGACAGCCCACGACCGGTTTCGCCCTTCTTGGGGCTCATCAGGTAGGCGCAGTCCCCGGGTTTCCGTCAACCTTATGTTCTACTTGAAACCAAATTGCACGAAATTAGCGAATATACACTCATTTGCAAACTAATTTGGTTCTCTAGAGAGACTCACCTGGAACCCAGCTGAATCTCTCGTTTCTTCATGATGTTCTCACTATTCATCCAGTTTGTTTGGCGCGTCAGTCAGTCTGAATTCGTGCAATGATGATATCACAACCTTATGTTCTACTTGAACCCGAATTGGACTGTTTTCGAGAAATACACGAATTCGCAAATCAATTTGGTTTTCCCTAGAGACTCAACTGAATCTCACGTCCAGCGTGATGATTAGACGACATTTTGTTTCTAACGGTACCAGCTGTTCATCAACTTTTAAGCTGCAGTTGAAGGCGAGGAGCTTGCGCATCTCGTAGCTGATTAACCTTTGCTTGACTTCGGGCTACCGACACATTTTATCGACGCTGTGCTGTAAATGCGCTGCTTTATCTGTGGAAAAGATATTTTCCATATCTTAGTTTCATCAACCAATGGCAGAGTGGACCAAGGGAGATTCTCATGAGGTCATTGAGGGAAATGAGAAAGTGCAAATAAAGTAACACAATGTCATGTCTCATGCAGCCAATATGGGTGAGGCATAAGTGCCGCTGACTACTACCAACATCACAAACGGGAGATTCAGCTGGGTCCCAGGCGGGTTTCTCGCAAAATCAAATTTGTTTGCAAATGAGTGTACTTCGCTAATTCCATGCAATTTTGTTTCAAAACACAAAGTTGATGGAAACTCGGAGGGTGCACCTAGCTGATGAGCCTCAAGATGGGTGAAACCGGTCGTGGGCTGCCGATGAGTTTTAAGCAACCTTGTGAGTGGATTCCTTTATGAAACTATACTGCGATATCTCGAATATCGTGCCAACTGGAACATGAGGCGGCCTGTGTGCAGCGCATTCAGTTGTAGAATATCTTAAACGAGAGATTTAGTTGAGCCTCTCGTGAAAACCAAATTGATTTGCAAATGAGTGTATTTCTCGAAAAGTGTCCTAGAGACACTGGAATTTCTTTCGATTGAGATGCCAAAAAGCAGAGTAGGTCGCTTTGTTCAAACTAATAAAAAGACTGTTATTTTGTTGGAGGAGCTCTGGAGTTGTTGCCATATCTACCTGGCCATTTGAACAATACTACTGCTACGGTGAACTCAGAAGACTTCGATCGTGTCCGAACTAATCGGGTGATGAAAACAAACTATGGTACGAATATACACTCATTTGCAAACTAAATTGGTTCTTTCGAGAGACTCATCTGGAACCCAGCTAAATCTCTCGTTTATGATGTTCTCGATGGATTTTCAGCAACCTTATGAGTAGTACATTACAAAAAAACTATGGTACGTCTTTTTGAATAAGCTAGTTTTGGTCGGACTGTCTGTCTTGTGGAGTGTTTTCTCTGAAAAGAAGCGAATGGTATATAAAAATCGCGATCGACTGAAATCGTTATTCTGTTTTCTGTAAGTAATGATACTACAGAAAATGACAAAAGCAGGCAATATAAACGAAACGGCGTGATAGAAGCAGTTCATCCAATAAAACAAAGTTTAATAGATCTCAGGCGAAATGTCTCGTTGAATCCGAGTTGTCATTTCTAGGGGAGATGGTAATTTTTTGTTTCGACCGTGTGCAGGAAGATACATCCCTAGATACAGCAGAGCATGGATGACATTACTTATCCGGTTGACTCATTGCTTAATAGAATAACCAGCGTCAGACTGCATACTCACCAAAGCCCACCAAGACTGCTCAAGATTCTGTTGGATTCAGGCACCGAACAACCATGGGGGATAACAGAAGCCAGCGAACGGGGCATTCAAGGATACAATAAACTCAACTGTAAGATTGAGGATAACAGATAACACTGCTTTTAAAAGCACGAAGTGAAAATCGTCTGGTTTCTGTAGAAAACGGGGTTGTCGAACAAGACGATCTCGTGGTGTAACGGTGATACTACTGATAGGGAGGCACGCGAGTAGCATGTGTTGTTCGTAGAATTTCGTTTTGCGATTTTTGAAAAGGGGAGATCCGTTGCGGAATTCGTGGGGCAACTTTGTAACATTTGCTTGGATTTGACCGACAAATGAGTGGAGTCAATGAGTATCCAGGAAAGTTCAAGAAGACGCGTTTGGGAGAAGATGGGTGTTCAGTTTTTGTAAATAAGATGCAAATGAGAGTTTTGCTTCCCTGTTCAATTGTCTGTAACCAGTCAGTTGGCTTTTCCTAATAAATAACTCCGCAGCAAAGACCTTCTTCCTTTCAGCGGTAGTTCATAGCGATGATAAGCTATCAACAAGAGCATGATTTCGCTCGCGAGATATGACGAACAAAACGAAATGTCAGCATCCAAAAATATTGAAAAAAACGACACGCTCACAGTGCCAGCGTGCGAATTCATTCAAATAGATCTGAAAATCCACCCGAGCCTCTGAACTACAAGTCAAAAAGAATCAGAATGTTATACGAGTAAATGTTGGAGACAGATGAAGATGTACAGGGCCAGAAATGGCGAGGAAATGTAGCCATTCGTAAAACGTCTTTGAAAGTTAACTGCGGTGAAGAATCCTGTTCACCAACACGTAGAGTGAGTGACGGAGGTCCATACCAGTTCCACCGGCGAAAAATCACAGCAACGGGACTCCACCGAAAATGCGAAAAGAATTTATACAATCCAGGAAGAACTAGTGGGTAGAATGGTTTGTCCCGACACAATCAGGCAACGGTGATTGGTACTGCTCAGGACCGACGAAAAAGCGTGAGCAAATTTCTGCCACACGTTGACCAGAAGTCCCACATTCGTTAACTTCTTGAAGATCTACGAAACTCCGAAGATAACTCTCATAGGATCATCATTCCTATCAACGCACCATCATTGCTGCCTTTCTGGACCGTTGACTTCATGGACAGATTTGAACTGTGGAATAATCAGGTATGCAGTATCTTGAAGACATTATGCAGTAAAACGACGGGTCGATAGCCACGCCAGTAACCAGGGGTCCCGTCTGTTCCCCAATATTATCCCTGAGTGGGGTCTGATATACCTCTTTTTTGGAAATACAGGAAGTAGGGTGGGGGTGGTTCAGGGGATGGATTGAACTCTACAGACGGTACTGCACCAGGAGTAAACCATCGAGGATGGTTCTTTCACATACGAAGCAAGAGAACACCATTCAGGACCGTAAAGCACACTTTCAACAGTTGGTGGAACACTTCAACTAGCCGACCGACTTAAACACTTTGGTAGTCATATGTCTGCATACCGAGGTATAACTGTCAAAACTGCATGGTAGACCAACAAATTCAAGAACCTCCAATGACTTGATAACAGCTTCCCTCTCAAGGTCCAGTCCACGTCAACATGCGTGTCATACCTAACTACCACATCCAAAGTGAAACTGAGACCAATTGTGTTTGGCCATTGTTGCCCACAAGCACCTCGAAAGGGTTCTACAGCTGAACGATTATCTTTCCGGAATCAAAAAGATGAAGTTGTAAATTCAGCCACACCTGAAAGTGCCCAGGCTTGACCTTGATTACTGACAGTGACTGGTCCTCAAACTGCTGGGTTCCAAATGACGTACTATTGTTAGTTAGCTTTCCAGCATATTTTCTATAAGTTTAAAAAATACCTCTACTTAAGGTGAATAATGAGTCGAAGTAAGCTCCCACACCTAGGTTTCGAAACCTCCAGGAACTGACTGACTGTTCTAGGGGAAATAATGCAAAATTGGCTTAGTTTTTCTACCACATGAACTACTGGAAACAAATTAAGGAGTTATTGATTTATAACGGATAACCGTTTCCATGTCGCAGTTTGCAACCAAGATGAATAGCCACAATGCATGCCAATTCGCTGGAAGATGTGCAACTCTTACTAGGTCAAAGGGTATATGGCCCTGGGAAGCCTTGCTCAGATTCCTTATTCGTCGTCAGATTAGCGAGCCATGATGTCATCATCATCCACAGCATGACATCAGTGTTTAACTCTAAAGCTTCGCTATTGTAGAACCATGATTTATTTGAAAGCCTTGTCGGGAAGAAAAGAACAA